AGCTCTTCACTTCAGATATCGGACAAAACTTTTGTGCGTCAGTTGTACTCTAGGATCGTGGAGAAACACAAGACGAGGAGGCCAGCAGCCACTCTGTTCAGTCCGGACATTCTATCATCAGTTTTGTCGACTGGCGCCGCAGTCATTGCCAGTCGTCCGGCGTGCGCCCGCGCGGCCACTGAAAAATGCAAGAATAGTCCGATTGGCGAGCTCTATGCTGGGGCAGAAATCGTTTATTCGTTCCATGCCGTTCTGTTTCTCAATAGGAAATTGCCCAGCTACAAACAGCGACTCATCAATCGGAGGTGCAGAACTATCCTAGCAGACAGTACTGCGGAGAATTTCTACCCCTTGCTGATTTGGTCTGATTTCACGAGACTCACGAGGAATCTCGCATTGAATGTCATCGACTAAGACGCGGTTTCCTTCTAGCATCAGACGACTGAACGAGGCAGGACTCCTCCTGTCTTGGTTCAGGCAAGTTGCTGGGGCTTGGAAAGGATGTCTCGGAACAGCAGTTCCTGATGGTCATCAGCTTCAATCGCTGCACGTGGCAGACATAGAGGGCATTTGCTACGTTGGTCTCATAGGACATACAATCGCAGCGATAGCATTTGTGATAGAGAAGATCCAAATCCCTGCCGGTAGAATGAGAGGATGAGCGGCTCTCGGGGATTCAATCTGACCTTGTCCTTGAGGACCCTAGACACTGTCTCATCCTCGAGGAGGACGAGACCTTCGTGTACGCAATGCACTATTTGTGCTTCATCGTGAGATTCCAGTAGTACTACGACATTGCTTCGCGAAAATTCTCAGCGATGTCGCACTCTTCCAGATTACCCCCCAGTTCTGCCACCGCTCGTGGGAAATAAATGTCCCCTCATTGTCCGAAGAATTTCTCCTGATCTGTCGAGAGGGGCAGGGAGGCGCGGGAACCGATGACGCGTCGACTTGGCTCCTCTCGCCGATTCCCGGCCGGGAAAAATGGCTCCGAATCGGAACTTCCTGATGGAGACCCTGGGTGTTGTTTCGATCCGGACCAATCCTTCCGACGCAGATTCATTTCCTGGGCCAATCATTCGAGATAATCATTCTGAGGATGATCGCCCACTTTGCGTAGATTGGACCCATGGTCAATCCAGATATACCAGTCGCATATCAGTGGGACGATCGATCGAAGGGTCGAAATGTTGATATTGTTCGAGGAGTTTTTCTTCACCCTCTTCAGAACTTTGGAATTTTTTGATCGGGTCCGGGGATTCGATGATAAATGTCGTGTAGGACAGAGGCTGCACCACGAGAGTGAAACCCGGCACAACGGATAGGCGTTCATTCCGCGGACTCTCCTACGAGTTCGTATTTCGCTAGAGCTTTGAGCGTTGATTTCTCGATGAATGCACGATTGACCTGCTGGCTCGAACATCGTGGCATAGCAGAGTCCGACACCTTCCATGTGGAACTTGCTTCCCTCCTCATCGAACAAGAACGTCTCCACTACCCTCCTCCCTAAGCTTATACCCTTATTGATCAATGTGTTTTGCCTCCCCATTGCATTCATAGTAAGCAATAAGTCTCAATCTCTGACCTAGACTGAGAAAGGTCTCCTTTCTCTCGAGTCCGCATCCCCCCCATGATGTCAACTCCGTGTCCCGCCACCAGCATGGGTTCTGGCTGAAGGATCCCACCGATTCAGCCCTCGGCGAGATTCACTTGTCCATTGTCGACGGTCTCGAGTCAAGATACTGAATACATTGTCGTCCCTCGATCTCGCAGAAGCTTTCGATACCATCGGTCGTGACCCCCCTCGTCCCTGCTTCGCTTGGAATCGGAACCAAGACCCTCTCACTACTCGATCCCGTCCGTGATTCCCCGCTGAATTTTCAATTCAGGAGACTCTTGCAGGCCCAACAAACGATAGGAATCAACCAACGTAACTTCTCATCGCACTGGACGTGATGGAAAGATACGCCCCGGAGATCGGCGAGAGCGATGCATGCTTGGGGTCGAGAAAACCCAAGTATCCGAATTTCATTCATTGTCTTTGTCCTTCGCGTTCTCGACTGCTCTCCAGAAACGAGTTGTCCAGCACGTCGAGGGCGATCCAGGAGTGTCCCGTTCCAGTTCGAGATCAAACACATCTCTCTCCCTTTCGTTCTCTAGCTTCTCGTCCATAAGACTCTCAAGCTCTTATCGTACGCGAAAGTTCCGTAGGGATCGGAATATTCTGTTCTAAGCCAGTCTATCAGGAAAGAGTGTGCTCATTCGTTTCCACAAAACCAATGTTTTTTTTTGAGAAAGAATGAAAGAATACCGATGTTTATTGAAATTCGAATTTGGGGTCGCTGTAGCCTCCCGCCTCTCCTCGCCGCTGCCTTTGCGCGTCCTTCAACTGAGCTTCACGCGCTTCGCTTCAGACTGCGCCTCGAAGTCTCCTAATCTTTTGAGGCTCCCGCATGTCTCAGGCGATGGCTTGGTCATCTCCTCGCTTTGCGTCTTGGAGCCGATCAACTCCAGGTCGGAGATGCCCAGCGCAAAGCGGCAGCATTCTTTAATCCGCCGATTGAGCTTGCTGAATGCGACGGCGGATTTGACATCCAGCTGTTGCGCGATGAGTATCAGCGCATCATCGGGGAGGTCGAGGATGTGCATCCTGTGGAACAAAACAGCTTATGGAAACTGCACCCAGAGTGAGAGAAATAATGTTCCGACAGAGAGAATGCGAGGATTTCGAGTCCCCGCAGTAGGATATAGATTCTTACCTGCTTCTGGATGGAGGCTCTGATATTCCACAGGCGAGCATCCGATCCACCAAGTTCAGCATGTCACCCTGCATTTCGAGATTTCGAGAGTTCTGCAACGGAAGGGTGGCCTCGAAGTCAAGGGTTCAGCTCCCTTTATTTCACCTACTTGTTAGAAGATCTTCGACCCCCGACTGCACTATATACGCCATCTTATACCGCCACCTCCTGAGGATGAGAGAGGGAGATGGAAGCTCGAGATGGAGCCAATTGAAATAGGAACTCCGGGCTCTCTACCGAGGGGTGCTGATTTCGGCGAACGAGAAAGTCCGAAAGAGCAGGGATGGATGATATCCGTATATTGGATGACGGTCTCGAGACGAAAACCCTGAGGGGGCTCGAGCTGGCGGAGAGGAGGATTTCGGCAGAGCTCGACCGATAGAGAGCCGAGCGCTCATTGAAGCTGCCCCGATGAACATGGGTCTGATCTGTGCGAGGCGTCGCTTCGTCTGCCGCACAGAGGGGGAGTCCGAGGAGCCAAAATTTCAGAAACTGTTCCGATGGGATCTCTTGCAAGACCGGAGATTCATCCCGAAATCTCGGAGGATTCTTCTCATCTGCTGCCCTTCGGGGTTCGGTCTCGTTAAACGCAGGCCGCGCCCGGGACTTATCTCGCCCATCCTCGTTCACCAGTCTCCCGGCAGATGTCTGTAACTCACATCGGTGGTCCTCGATTGATGCTCTCCCGAATATTTCTTGAAGGCGTGAAACCAAGCCCTGAGCGTCACCTACTCCTTTATTCTTCCTCTTTCTTCTCTTCGTCACGCAATATGAGTGCGACTGTTCTGATGCACCCTACTGCATTTCCAGGGAGGTTGGGAGTCTTGTCTGGAGGCGGCAATCAAGCACCACGATTGTTCAGGTAGTTCCAGTTGTTTAGGTTGTAGCCCGCATTTCGCTCTCCAAGGTGAGGTTCCGCAGTTGCAGGCTGATGGGAACCTTGGCATCGAAGGGAGCATCAAGCTGGTCGAACCTCATGATGAGGACGGGGAGAAAGCCGAAGAGGCGCAACAGAAGAGACATTCTGATAAGAGGCACAGCCAGCCATATCCGCGCCCCAGGGTCGGGGTCGGGGAGCAGGTCCCCGTGAGAGTCGGACTGTCCGCCCATAACACGAAATTCATTGGCCCCTTCGTCATCGAGAGGAGCGAGGTGTTCGACGGCGACCCAGAGCGGTTTGTCTATGACACCGGTGACAAAGAGGGTGTTGCAACGCTGAAGGACTTGGTTCCTCACACCCCCCGAAGGGGCTGAGCCTGAAGGTCGGGGAGTGAGGGATTCTTTAAAACTGGAGGGTATTCCCGCTTTCCCCACATGGAGACAACGGTCGCACTGTCCGGCGCAGTCTTGTTTTTCACTACATATACTGCAATTCCTCAATGCGGATAGCTCACTGATTTCAAGGTCTTCCAACAATCAGGAACATCTAGCGGGCAGGAACTGGGGCCACAGAGTCGACGGAGCTAGTCTGAGGTATCTTGAAGTCGAGGCCGCTCTACACCGCGGCCTTAGCGCGTCCTTCAATTGAGCTTCATGTGCTTCGCTAGAGACTGCGCCTCAGAGTCTCCCAATCCTTTGAAGCCTCTGCATACCTCGGGCGATGGCTTGGTCTTCCATCTCCTCGTTCCATATCGTGGAGCCGATCAGAGCCAGGTCAGGGGTGGCCGGCGAAATGCGGCAGCATTCTTCGATCCGCCGAACAAATTTGCTGAATGCGACGGTGGACTCGAAATTCTGCTGTTGTGCGTTAGGTATTAGCGCATCATTGGGAATGTCGAGGATGTGCATAATGTGGAGCGAAAAAGCTCATCGAAATCATTTTCGAAGTGAACAAAAATAAGGATCCGACTGACTGGATGCGAGAATCATGAGTCCCTGCAGTGGGATATCGATCCTCACGGCGGATGGAGACTCTGCTATTCCGCAGTCAAGCATCCGATTCACCGAGCATGTCACCCCCCATCCCGAGAGGCGGAGAACCTGTTTGTAAGAGCAGCTTCGGAATCAATGGTCTCGGCCACTTCCATCTCACTTATTGCCTAAAGACGTTCTACCTCGTGTGCGGATTTTGATGAACGGAAAAGTACATTTTCGTAGTTTCCGAGAAGAGAAATTCTATGCCCACTGAAGGCTCGAGTTGGCGGGCGAGAGAATCACGGCACAGATCGACGGAAAGAGAGAGCTGAGCACTGCGGTCTAGGCAAGTGGTCTAACCGACTGGGCGAACGCCGAACGCCAACTGGCTAGAGTAAATAAGCTTCATTCGCACTTTTCGTCTACGAAATTGGGTTGAGTGAAGTATTTTGCCGTATTTTGCTAGACTGGTAACACGGGGAAAACTCCGAGAAGAAGTGGAATGCTTGGACCGGTATCTGGTCGAACTTAGTGCACTTGATTTCCAGATCCGTCTGCTCTCTGCGATGATCGTCGTTCGTACTTTCGCATGATGACGGCAGAGGAGCCGTGGCACTCTGCGCCCTTATAATCGGTCCCTCTACTTGAGCATCGGCCGCGGGAACGCGCATTCTCATCCGCAGCTAATGCCCTTCCCCTCGGCAACTCGACTCGCCTCCGAAAATTCGACTCGCCCCCCCAGAAAAAAGGCCAAGCACGCCCTTGTGAGTCAGATATGGGTCTGAAAGGGCCCGCTGTCCTGACTCGTCCCCGCGTACTTACGATGTTCCTCCGATGCATAGCCTCTCACATAGGGGTATCCATCGTGAGCACGATGTTCCTCCGATGCATAGCCTCTCACATAGGGGTATCCATCGTGAGCAGGCTCCGAGATTCGTCTCTAGGTCACGACGCCGGGCTTCGTCGCCATGATGGAACTGACAATGACTGGATGAAAAAAAGTATGTCTCAGGAGACGATACCCAAAATTATCGGACTCAACACGACGGATCAGCGGGATCATCGGGATTAGATGAACTTATTGTGGTCCAGAACAATTCTCGCCTTACTTACATTCCACCACGGCTTTCCCCCTTTTGTCTCCTCTTCCATCACAGTCGGAGCCTGAGAGAAACTGAGACCTCAGCGTAAATAGAGCAGGTCTGCGTGCAAGCACCAAGAAGCCGTCACGTGCGGGATGGGAAAATCAATCGGCTGCTACGCGATCCTTGCACCTTCCGGACTTATCCAAGTATCCACCCGAATGAGTTTTGACCGGGGATCCGATCGCATTGATGTATTTCTCGCACCAGGAATCTCAGGCCCCGCTCGATTTGACTCACCATCCCTTCAATCTATAGTCGCTATTTTCGACAGTTTGGGTTTGAGCTGAAGTTCGAGTTTCAGTTTACTGTGACCTGACGCCAAGGACATCGGTCCCTTATTGTGGGGCTGTTGTTCAATGAATTTTCGCCCAGATATAATTCCGTCGGAAGCGTTCTTTTGTTCGTTTCGCAATTTCGCATCGCCGAGTGCCGCTCGCGCTACCCCAATGGACATTGCCCTGATCTGTGCCAGGAGTCACGATCGGCGCCGAACGGAGAGGCAGTCCACTGGATCTTCGCCGTTTTATTCACAGAAATGAGCAAAGTATGGCCACGATTTATCCGTCGACGAGCAGCTTCACTCGATCACTAGCGCATCGCCCATTTTCTGGGAGTTGGGAACCGAGGTTGTGCTTTTCTGGCGAATACAATGCGCGCTGGGTCGCTTATGCCCGACAACATGAGAAAAAACGGGTGATTAGGGTGTCATGTGCAAAAAAGTCACCGCCCGATTTTTCGCAAAGCACAGGCTCACTGACGCTCATGTTCCTGGATCTTCTCACAGGAGGGGCTCCAGCCATAATGAGCGAATTGGAACTTGGAACTCAGCTGAAATATTAGTGTGTACGATCGTAGGAAAACCCCACATGATTACTGCGAATACTGAAATCCCCCCCCTATAGAGCCCATCTGAACGTTCTGGCACGCGTTCTTGCAAGCTACCAGTGTAACAAGGATTCCCGTGTATCCAATGTTTTCATGTACCTAGTCCGTAATCTATCACTATCACGCACATGAGTCATGAGAGAAGGAATACGTGAAAAAAAAGCCGGCGCGAGCGTCATCCGCGGATTCGAAGCGTCTTGAATCTTGAATCACTGGGGATTCGGAAGGACGCGTCCGAGAACGTCTACACGCACTCTATGGAGTATTCGCTCAGAGGTATGCATAGGGAAGTAATAAGGTAATAAGTAATGATCTCAGGTTCTCCGGGTCTCAAGTGCACCAACATCCCAGCTAAGTTTCGAATTCTGACTCGCTCATCATGTCGGAAACTTCCCTTGTCAGTTGTGCCGAGGGCTCTCGGACAAACCTGACAGGTGACTATGCATACGCAGCTCCTCTCCGTGCAGCGAATGATATGAGGGTTGAAAATGGAATTCATGACTCAATAATTTCATCGCAAGCTGACGCATCTGGAAACCTCTGTGCACTCTCAGCGGCTCTCCAAGAATAGGCCAGCGTATTTTATTCAGTCCGTCATTCGCTCCCGCGTCTTTTATTTTCCGGAGCCCTTATTTACAACTGTATATATATTTAAATATTTACGTCAATTCCGCTCAATTCCGTTCAATTATCGCTTGGAAAGAGGCTGATTCGGAATCAATGATCATACGACAGCACGAAAAGGCATCCTCGAGCGTTTTGCGTGTTCATGTCGCGGCGGTCATTAAGTCAGACACTGAATATAATCGGGTGGCACTGTATTTAAATAGCCCGAATCGAGGAGTGACCGAACTTTGTACAGGATCGATTCCGATAGAGTCCCTCTAGCTAGGCGGGCTGCGTCAGAGTCGGCTTCATTCTGATGCCTCACACCGAAACTAAAAGCATCGAAGTTGTTCTCAACTCGTCTGGGCTGAGGACCGGGTGACACGTTTCTGGAAGAGAGATAATCGCTTGATAAATGTCAGAATAAAAGCTGACCGTCTGGGCGAGGTTGTTTCTCTAAGACTCGTTCGGAAATTATGGGGGAAAAATCCTCACCTGTTGCCCGTTTGAGGCCTGGTCTCGTTCGAGGCAGGCTCGCTTCCGCGAGTTATCGCGGTCTTCTCCGCTCACCACCCTCTTCGCAGACCTCTGTTTCTCAGATTCGATCGCGATTTCAGTGGCTACAAGCGATCCCGACAGGTCCACGAGCATCGGCTCCGCGGCAGTCGGCGCGCACGACGGAGTATCCACCATATTCGCCATCTCTTGATGCACTTCGCCACTATTTGAGCCGCTGATTGTATGGACGGTGTGATGTGTGGCGGCCAATTCTCTTTTTGAGCCCTGCGACACCGGTGGTCCTCGATTGATGCTCTCCTGGATTTTTCTCGGAGGTGTGAAACCGAGCTCACAAGGCAAATAGAATTTCGAGTTTTGCGGCGTGCTCTTATCCGGCAGCACGAATAATTTGGCAGGCAAGCGAGCTTCCTGGGGAACTTCTCGCATGTTGAAATTCGAGGTTTTAGCCATTATCAAAGCTAGAGTGAGGTCGCATATCGCATACAGACGGTGGTTCGCAGCTTCGTTCGTTGGATCCTGACGGTCTTTCGAACGTTTGATGCCTTCCAGTAGTTTTTTGAAATACGAAAACGAATAATTTTCATTCTTCGTGCAGTGTGGCTCTAGCTGGAACCATAGGCACTCTTTGATCCTGTTCAAAGCCGTGACGTCGGAGGGATCTTCGTAAAGACTATCGTGAGCCATCAAATGGATCAAGTATACGACCACGTAGTCGGGCAAGATGGTGAGCAGCTTCGCGGTTGTTATAGGATTCGCTTTCAGGTATTCCCGTCGGCGAGTGATGTTATTCAAGAGGTAGTGTCTCATCTTAGCTTTGAGCTGAGGTCGAGGCTCAATGCCTCCGTACGAGAGGAGAGCCATGAATTGCAGGGGCAATTGTAAAGACATCAGCCGTTTATGGAGCTTCGCTGCGAACTTCTCTCGGACTTCGTCGACAGGGTCGGTTATGATCGTGACAAGTCTCTGGAACTGGGACTGGGTGATGACGTCCGCATATACAGTGCAAGAACAAACTTTCAAGATACATGCGGCAGCCCACAATCGCAGATACGATTTTTCACAATCGCTGACGTGTTCTTTCTCCATGAGATCGCCTTGGTTCTTGAGCATCCGCACCAAGAGTCGGAGAGTACTGGCCGCGTTGCCGGTTATCGCTTGAAGACTCTGCTCCATTTCAACCTCCTGTTCGGGCTGAGCGTTCTGCTGCTGTTGCTGATGTAGGTTCGACAGACCCACGAGCCATCGACCCATCATTTTCAAGCCAGCCAGCTTGCAGCGCGTTTCATGGGGTAGCGCCTCCTGATCGCACCACTGCAGCTCGCTCATACGAGGCTCTTCTCTGTCGGCCATCAAAAGCTCCTTAACGACAATTTTACTGACGATGCTTTTCATTTGTTGATAGAACGTCTCCGGCGAAAGGAGAGCTATGTGTCCCAGAGAAACGAGCGCGGTTTCGAAGTTTGGCGATTCGAGGGTGAGATGATGTTTGAGATGGTCGATAACCACGCCGAGGACTCGGTCCTTATTGAAGACCATGTTGTAAAGACATTGGACGGCGTACTTTGCTTGTTTCGGGGTCCCATTCTCGACGAAGTTCTGAACGACGGGCTGGATGCGCTGCGCTATGTTGGGGAAATTCACCTCGAGGTCCTTGCCTACGTTGGATAGCACTAGGAGTGTTTGGACCTGGGTTCGCGGACAATCGAAACCGAGGAAATGATAAATAATTTCGAAGATTTCTTCCGTCATGAAGGCATTTGGAAAGACACCCGACAAGGTGTGCAGTAGTTCGAGACCGCGATAGCCAGATTGTGAGACGTTGCACTGAACGTCGATTTCTCCGTTGCCGCGGAGGGAATCTTGGGCGTATTCGAAAATTTGTTTGATGCCGGATGAATCGATGAGGACGGGTGCGATTCTCTCGAGCATCTGCTTGATGGTCACAAAAAAAGAGTTTGTCTGCACGGGGAGACCGAGCGCTTTTAAAACTTCTTTCACGCTCTGTTCGGCATTGGCGCACGACGCACTCCCGTCCAGAATCAAAACCATGTGTTGATATGTTGTGGGCGAAGTTCTCAGCAATTCTGCCAGTTTGAATAAATACTCCTGAGCTCTGACTGGCTCGGGCAGATTCCGTGCCATGTGGACAATCCGGGTTTGTAGCTCTTGCTGCCGGTCGGCGTCGTCCTCTTGGCCAATCAACTGCACAACTTGTTTGATTTGCTGTCGTATGGCATGTTGGCATTTCAGGATTTCGATGAGGGCTTTGACGGCGTGCTCGTCGCAGGTTGCGAACAACTGGTACAATTTGAAGGTTCTCACCTGCGGCGGAAATGGATACGTCCATGAATGGCGAGAAGGATCGGAAGGCATGTTTGTAGAGAACTTTTTTTGCGACGAAATAGTTCTTCGATCGACCGAGGAACTACTCACTTCATTCGGTAATTGATAAGGCACCAAACAGCTATGGAGTATCCGTTCCACGATCAATCTGTCTTCAAGTTCACTCTGGTAGTAGATGTGAAGAACCTGGAGGAAGGCAGTCGTGAATTTCGAGCACGGAGCTCACAGTCATACCGATGGGAAGTTTCTTCGATTCTCCCGGGGCCTTACTTTGTTCTTGATCCAGGAAATGCATTCAATGATATTGGGATCTTCAGTCTCACTAGGTCCACACGTGAGGTTCTTGTATATGTGCGCTAATCCTAGCAGAGCTTCTCGTCGAACCTTGAACTGAAAAGCGATGAGGCATGGTTAGTAGACTCACGAAGACTTGGGAAACTCCCCATAAGTGCAATGAATTCAAAACCTTGGGAGAACTTCAAAGCAATGATCCATGATCCATCAAGAGTCAATGAAGAAAAAGCGATGATCGAATCGAGACTAACATTCTTGTCCAATGTCCGCTCCTTCACGATGTTGAGAAGTTCAATGCTGACCGATTCGAAATTTTTCTTCGCCGCTTCGACGATCGCCATCACAACTTCGAATCTGAAGAAAACGGAGTGCGATGAGGAGCAGAATCATGAGCGTTGGAGACAACTCATATTATCCTGACGTAACCATGTACTGACCGCTGAACTGCATTGCATTGATATCTAACCTGACACTCTCGTTGGGATCATGTTGCCGTGTTTTCAGTGTGTTGGTAATATCTTCTCTCAGGGAGGGTTGATTCAACAGAAAATGCATAGAATATTGGACGCACCTCATTCGGACCTAAGGAATCGCCCAAGTTTAGGAATCGCCCGGAATAGTCCCGTGAAAGCTCCGCAAATATCTCTAATCATCATTATTTGCCCATCGCTCGATTCACCCGGGCAACCTGTTCGCATGCTTTACCTGGAGCTTGATGTCGTTGAAGCGACCGACGAGAGCGTTCCACAATGCGGGATACTGACCGGCGAGATTTGAGTTCTTCTCGGAAAACATTCGTGCAACCAGCTTCGTGACCTCCAGCCTCTCATTGTTTTCCTTACATTTGAGTTTCATCTCTAATTGTGGTAGGACTCCCGCCATAGTTTCCGGTAGAATGTGGTTCAATTCGTATATGAGTTCGTACATGGTCGGAATAAGGACGGACCCTCCCGTCTTCCCGAGCACCAAATAATTATTGAAGAATGCTTGCAAATGAGGCCTTAGAACGTCTTTGGTGTTTTCCAGGACTGATCTGGACAGCTCCGCTGCGACCTGGAAGAGAAAGTCTTCCAGTACTCCACGATCAGGCACCGCCACTCAATCCTGGGCACCACAGAAAACGCCCGATCGGGAAGCCCAACACAAAGTCGACGGATAGGATGCTCACCTTATGTGTGCTTTTCTTTGGTGAAACAATGTAGGCCAGCAAAGTATCCATCAACTTCTGAGATACGGAATCGGCTTCGTTGATCAGGGGACAAAGCATATTGACCATGAACGACCTGACATTGGAGCTGTGGAAATCGCTGAAAAGGTTTGTCCGGGCGAATTAGAGAGGATGATGTCTGTTGACCGGGCCCGATCTGGACGAGCTCTCCTGAATTTCCCATTCGGTGTTTTCGAATTTCTCGAATGATCTGAGCGGGTGCTCGGGGCCTTGCCGATTAGGGCAAGGGCTGATTGCTCATCGCCAACTTTCCATGATTCCTTTCCATAGTTTGACAAGGTAATTCGGTCCGAGCATGACTGCTCAACAGATGTGCTATCATTCACACTCACTTGACAATGGATAGGATGAGTGTATACAGATTACAGATGATGGATTGATCACATTCGAGATCCAAGCAGATATTGAACGTCTTCACTGATGCCAGATTTTCGAGGAGGTAGAAATATCGCTTGAAAGTCGGGTTCTTCGGGTCCGCCAAGCCTGTGGACAATGGACCGATCGTATACCGCGTCAAAAATGAAGAGTCAGATCTAAGGGACGCCCTGGCGGCGGGTCCGAGCAGGGAGTTTTGGAAACTGGGGCAAACCTTGGAGCTGTTGGATGAAGAATTCAAAAATAGCCTTCAGTTGGTCTGGATCCTTATACGGGGCCTCAGGTGCGAATACCCTAGTATGGTGGGGAAAAAGCTCGTTATTTTTGACGGCTTCGATCTTTCCGGATGCTGTCCATAGTGTGACGGTTGATCTTTCCACGTTCGTATTTACCGGAACACGTCGGCGATACAGCATGCGATGAGCAATCTGACATCTCTCGATGGATGATCCAAGAAGAACTCCGAAGCGAGATGCAGAGCCAAATCAGAATATCTGGAGTTGTCATCCTCCTGGTTCATGTTCTGGAATGCCTGCGCGCATTCTTTCAAACGTCTGGCTAAATCATCCTCGGGGAGCTCCGCAAATATCTCCTTCACCCCCGGCGGGTACACCACTTTGAGATGAGCCATTTCCGGCCGAAGCTTTACGGCCCTCACGCTAGACTGCGTCAACGCTTGCGAGCCATCACCTTTTAGGAGAGAATGCAGCCTATAAATTTGAGGTTTGTTGGATGGAGGATTGAATCTGGAGGCGAAGTTCATCATTAGGTGGGATCGAGCCCTTGGATTCAACTCGAGTCCGCTTCGAGAAGGAGCGAGCCTCCCCGCCATCCAGACAGATCGAGATCCGTCTCTAATACAATCAGCAGCGCATCATGTCTCAGACGCTTAGAATCTGAATATTTGTGAATTTCTGGTGGATTTGGGATTCGCTCCGTTACGCTTTTCTGATTTGAAAGCGAGACGGCACAGGATCCCGCTCCGGCAACAACTGAACACCAGTGGATTTCCGCGACAAATATCTCGAAGCCGAATGTCTGGTTGTCGGAGAGTCGAATATACTGTGTCATGCATTTCGTTTCGACGATGCCCCAGCTACGATGGGCGCCTGTCGCTGGAGTGAGTCTGAATTTGGTGAGGGACTCATTCCCCATGGTGAGGCCGGCACCAGAAGATTCTCCGTTGGTGTGGTCTCCATTAAATCTTTGCACTGCGCTCGACCGCGTATGCGGTATTCGCGTTTCCTCATGCCATAGTAGTCAGACCCTGCTTTGCAGCTGTCAACTAATAAATTACAGTCTCATATATTCCTCTAATGATGAGTTGACTTTTCCACTGGAGGATCACCATGGACGTGGAATGTCAACACGACGTCCGGAGAAACGTCTCTCGATCGACGGGCAGTCGCCTGAGAGGCGTCAGTTCCCATTTCCTCAAGTTAGCATTGTTGCTCCAGAGGGGCGGAGGAGTCTCAAAATAAGAGGAATGACAGGTTCTAGAGTTATCTGAGGACCATTGTTTACCTTATCCAGAGTCGTTCTCAGATTCTTCCTAGGCTTAAGTTTGAGACAGTGCCGAGCTTCCGAACTCTCTCTGTACCTCCGGACCTTCATTCAGAAGCACCTCGAGAAGCCAGGTGTACGGTACATTCACGAGAAACACGATTCCTGCGAGCTGAATTGAACGAATCGAACGTCTGCCGGGAGATCGGAGTCTGTCTGTAGGAAAAGTTCACAAAATGTCGCCTAGATGGCAGACATGGCGCTCGCGTGGCGAGGGCTACGGCGCGCCAATTCTCAAAACCGAATTCTTCGCTATGATGAAGGCTGGGCGCTGTGCCACCCAATCCCAACGATCGGGAGGATCCGCTGACACGGCCGATCGCCCCCTGTTATATACAGTCGAACCCGCTTATAAGAAAACCGGTTAAGAGAGAAAACCGGATATAAGAGACCGATCCCGATTCCCCGATTTTTTCTCCATAGGGCTTCATGTTGAAAACCTCGCTTATAAGAAACTCGGATATAAGAGAAAACCGGATGTAAGAGACAATTTTCAAACCCCAGCCCCATAGAGTTCCATGTTGGAGACCTCGTATATAAGAGAGAACCGTCTCAAGTAGAATTTCTGTTTGCTCTTCCATGACTCCTCTTCCTCTCGGAACCTGCGCGAATGAGATAACACGCCAGTTCGATAGTATCATTGCTCCGAAAATGATCGTCTCTCCACAGGATCATGATACCGGCATCCGAGTCATACGAGAACGAGATGTTTCGGGTCTTTTCATCGAAAGACCGTACCTCGGATATTAGAGAAACCGGATATAAGAGACCATTTTCAATTCCCCGAGAGGTCTCTTATAAGCGGGTTCGACTGTACCTAGAGATATTTGGCCAGTATGTCCACACCTTCATTCCGACATGCTCACTCGGTGTGGAGAGTCCGACTGTGATGACGACGAGCATGAGTGAACTTCTCGAGCCCATCGAAGTTCCACTCGAGTTCACCGAGTCCTCTCACGTCCCTCTCATGCAGAGATACGGCCTGGATGGAGATTTGTGAAACATAGGTACATATTCGAACATATCCATATTTTCATTCATGACTAAGAAAACTCTTCCCGACCGGAGTTCTCTGTGATTCCTCACGAAATGGAAGACCTGCTTCATGCACTGCTGTCCACTTCATGATTCGACTCCTCAGTGCCTCGGCGAAGACTGACGAAATGCTCCCCGTTTGGCTGGGTGAGCTCGTCACCTATCGTCGTCTATGTTCGGAAATGATCAGGTTGCGTTTCCGTGCTCCAATCACGCACGAGACTCAAGTCCATGGACACAGAGTCCTTAGCGACCAAAGCCTTCCGATCATCCATTGAGCATTTCTATGAAGAATTGATTTCCTGTGGCCCCTCCTTCCCTATTCCCTATGGATTTGATCTTCTTCATTTCCTCGCGCCATGCTCTTAATTTCAACTCATGGGGGCCGCGTGTAGCCCGAGGAAAATGGCCTAGGCTTTGCGACCTCGAACGAATTCTCCCAGTCGTGAGCTCAGGGAGACTGTACGTCATTCGTAGTAAAGAGCGGATGTAAACATGAGAGTCAAGCAATAATATTTTATGATATCTCCGAGGTTACCTCGATACAGACTTCTGATAATCAAGACTCATGAATAATTCGGAACCTCTCCGTAGCAGGACAATGGGCGATGAATTCGATAGGGCTCTCGATGACGTCTTGTGAATTTTGTAGGTCCCTGAGCCTCATGCCGTTTCGACGTCTCCGTTCGAGATCCAGAGAGAATCCGAGAGAAAGACGTCGATCTCTGAGCCTCGACGACTTCACGGAAATACTTCATGATAGCGTACGACTAGTTTATATACGAAATATAGACTAGTGAGATGGGGCTTTGTCTACAGAAAGTGTCGTCCGTTCCGCTGCTTGAAGCAGACTCCGAAGCAATAATCCGAGACAGAGAGCGAGTTAATTCCTCCACCCAGGTCGTCAGGAATCGTGTTAAGCCGTCCGATATCCAAGAAATACGACGGGTGTTCTGATCGAGCGTCGTGCCGTCCCGTCCAACCTCCCAGCATCAAACCTTGTCACTGAAAGATGAGCCTTCCGATTTGGGGGGAAAATCATTCGCCAGGACTCCTGAAGCTATTGTAAGTTAGATTCGAATCCCCATGCCAAGGACTCGTCTCGTAACCCTGGCTCCTCGCCGAGCATCGGAATCGCAGGTAATGGGTACTCGAAATTATCCGCCTGTTTAAGCGATGAATTTCCCTGATAGGTTTCCGGCTCCTAGGATAGCATCCGACTTTTTAATTACGTTTGAGGCTTAGAATAATGACTGCTCCGGGGCATTCAGATCGATGACAGACTCGGAGATCCCTCCGATCTGGGAGACTGATTCAATGAGCGGAACATTATTCCTCGTCAATGTTGGATTCGAGTTCCGCGTGAGACAGGCTTCAGTAACCCCCCACTGTATTGTCATTCGGCTGCCACTCGAGTGTTCATAGCCGGGCATCTGATCGAAAGTCTATCCGAAATATAGACTCCACTGATCCGTGATCAGATACTCGTATCCCTTGCGCGCGTCCTCCGTGGAGGATACGTGATCAGGATACCAGCTTCACACGTGGGGAGCGTGTCCCCGAGCAGCTCATTGGTATATCTTGTATTCACCGGTCCTCATTCTCTGCCGAGCATCCCCGGATCGATAAGTAGAATGAATGATTCGATCCTGCGAATTGCAAGTTTCACGGTAAGTTTCCCTATCGCTCTTCTCCTCGCTCGATCGGGGATCTTCCGAGACCCTGAGGACACCGGCAAGCGCTCCAGGGAAGGCTCTTCCTTCGGTTGCTTTGAGCAGCTCGCCGATCGCGAATGAGTTATGCTCACGCATAAGCTTGGGGGAATCTTGATCTTTCAGTACCCGCCGTACCATGTGCTGTATGAAAGAGATGGCCACCGAGCTGTCAGCGGGATGTATGGCAAGATTCTCCAAGTGCTCTCAAAGTCCTTGGGCTTCAGGTACAGGCATCGTGCGTCTCCAATGAAACCTTTGAGATCATTTGATTCTCTCCTATGGAATTTTGTGCGTTTCAGTTACAGCATCACGGACGCAGCGGCATGGGGCATAAAAATCAATAACACGTGGAATGGAGCCATCGGTCTTCTTGACCGCGACGTTAGTAGTTGGAGGCTCGAGCATTCAATCCCGTTCCCTGTGTCTCTGAGAAACTCACACTTGAAAGATTGTCCGAGCCCCGGGCCCCTACCCGAAGGACTAGACTCTGATGGACTGTTCTGTTATCTCCAGGAGGCAGATTTGGCGCTCTGTGGCACGATTCCAACAGCTGAAAAGCTAGTTGTTGCGGCTCCCACACCGATGATCAATCCAATCGAAATTATCATCTTCGCGGGAAGAGAGACTCGTTTCAGCAAAGATCCCTTTGCGGTGCTCAGACAGCTGCATTATGACGTAAGTTGAAGTACGAGCTCGGAATCCTAGGGATATTCTTTGGCAGCATCACGAATTGGACGACCCTTCTAATATTGAGAGTTGGCATTCGGGAGCCGTGCTCGCTCGAGGGCCCCTGTAGATATGATAATCGTGTCGGCTCGATTGGGGGATCGGCCCAATGTCTCTCGAGCTTTCTGCAGTAATTCAGGGGCCCTGAGCAGCTCGTAGTCGAGAACCCCCCAGGAATAGCCGATCCTCGCATGTGTGAGTCTCGCGTCGCGTTATACCATGCGTGACCGTCGCGTCGTCCGCTCGTCACAATCAAAAGCTTCTGGAGTCCTTGCTGGATTCGGGAGCTCGGAGCCCGGTCGACCCAGCCCTAATTGGCTGTAAGCTTCGGGCGAGCGTGTGGAATTCATTCATTCATGGAATTCATGAACTTGAAAAAAAACAGATCTCCATCAGACAGAACCCCCGGTGGGGGCCTCCCGAGCAATCTTTTCCACCCCAGAAGCGCAGAGCCGGTGCACCAACTCCGGGAGCGCACGAGCTGGTTTTCAGATACGCGAGTCTTCCGACAGGTGTGGATGGCTCTCGCGTTGGGGATTCTATTCGTGTCCTCGCTGCTGACCGCGTCTCAAATCCTCCTCACAAGGACTCCGACTTCTGCGGAAGCCTGTCTCCGGAACATTTTCCTTCTATTCGGCGCTACCTGGAACGAATGTAGGTCTTACGCTCCTCGACAGCTCAAGCACTCGAGGGTTCCGCCATTCCGTCGTCTTATGAATGTGCGGGACTTTCCCTTGAAGGTGATGCTGCCAATTCTGAGGGCGCGGGGAGCCTCATAAGCTCAGATCACCAATAAATTATCTGACACCCATCATGAGAATACTCGACGAATATTAACGATCTGTCCTTCTGACCAGGCAGCGGCGAACCTCCGAGATTGAACACCGCTCGAATGTTCTGGATAACTTGGATATTGGGTATAAGCGTAATCTTGATGAACGCGTATGCCGGTCAATTGAAGGTTAGACCGACTCCTCCGAGCACATTTCCCGGATACTCGAAAACACTAATTAGGTCCGCTAAGATCGGTGATTCCCGCTCGAAAGTCGATCCTTAAAATAGGATGGTACTCACCATCCATGGAAAGCCGCACCATTCGAATCAGAGCTCCGTAGGAAATATAGAAGATCAAGCTGACGAGTAACTGACCGGTCTCTTCCCAAAAGTCTGTGCGGTGGATGCCAGGGAATGCTGAAAAATTCTCAGATTGCTCGGGTCTGATCTGGTCTGATATTGGTCTGTGAAGAATCGCTTGCGGAGCCTTGCTCGACTCGGGGAAATATAGAGAAACAAAAATCGAACACGTACCGACTCGGGATCCCGAAGCCTTAGCTTGGTCATGAGTCATGATACTCCAACAGCTTTTGGATGCAAGTTCCTCGGATGCTTTGCGTCTGTTTCATTGGAAAGTTGCCTTTTTCTTCCTTCAAGGGTGCGATGCTCTTCAAACCTGAAAAACCTCGCCTAAACAAGCTTTGGGATCTGCACCAGAGGCCTCATCTGAAAGTCTATGTGCCTGAGAATAGTGTCGAGTTCATCTTGAAGGTTTGTTTCTCCAAATCCAAGACGGGGAGAGCTTTTCGGAAAACCAACCAAGCTGTGGTAATAGTCATTCACCGTATCCTGGGAGATACCAAACGGCTCATATCTGACTCTCAATTCCAGATATCGGACAAGAGTTTCGTCCGCCAATTGTACTCTAGGATTGTCGAACAACACAAAACGACGAGACCTGCGGCCACCCTATTCAGTCCGGATATTCTATCATCAGTTCTGTCGACCAGCGCGGCCGTCATTGCAAGTCGCCCAGCATGCGCTCGAGCCGCCGCTGAAAAGTGCAAGACGAGTCCGATCGGTGAACTTTATGCCGGTACGGAGATAGTTTATTCTTTCAATGCCGTTTTATTCCTCAACAGGAAAATGCAGGACTCCAAACGAGCACTCATCAATTTGAGGTACGAAAAAAATACTCAACTATCAGCCATCGGGGAAAAGATCAAGAAACGGATTCGGTCCGGAAAGTCCTGAGAATTCCCAAGTAATCCTTTATCATAGCAAAATCATTGAACGGAAACGGTTTCCCCTCAGTATCCGACGGCTGAACGAGGCGGGACTCTTGCTCTCCTGGTTCAGAGAAGTGGCTGGGGCTTGGACGGGATGCCTTGGGACAGCCGTTCCTGATGGCCATCAGCTACAATCGCTTCATGTTGCGGAGATCGAAGGAATTTGTTACATCGGTCTCATTGGACATTCGCTCGCCTTGATCGCCTTTGTAGTGGAGAGGATTGGGATCCGACGGCGTCCGATGCTCATGACGACCGGAAGCATCAAGAAAAATTATGATTCCTGAGATTCAAAGCTTTGATTTCGATGTAACGAATTAATTCTCTCCTCACGAGCGAGATAATCCTGCTTTCTCATTCCTCATAAATAATTGGAATTAGCCGATTAGAATCGCTATCAGAACAAGAAATTCCCTGGAAATTTCCGGGACTTTGAGCGCTCCGCTCTTTCAGCTCAAGCCGGATCCGGAGCGCTCTCCCAAGACGGTTTTCCGCTCATGATGAGCGCTCCCAGGGTAGAAGTAGAGATTGTGAAATACGAAATGAGAATGGATGACGAGAAATGAGAAGTGATGAACCTCATCCGTTCCATCACTCGGAGGCCTTTAGAGTTCCAGAGTTCAGGTCCGCGGGCGGCGGAAACATTGCGTGGGATAAACGCAGGGCAGATCTTGCAGGTGCTCCATTCCTGCGGTGAGGCTTGAAACAAGCTAGAGCGAAATTCGAGCAGACGTGAGGTCTCTTGCTCGAAGCTCTCCGCGTACTCCAAGATTCACTGTCGAGCGTCGCGGATCGCGAAGTCAGGTATCGATTGGGATCTTGTCCGCTCTACGACACGGAATCGCACGTTTCGACTGCTATGCGAATTTCGGGACAGAGATTACAGCTATTGAGTTCGGGTGCTGATGGGAGCGAATAGCGGACATTCGAGAGCCCTGATAGATATTTGGGGTGAGAGAGCGTGTTCGGACCGGACCGCCTGAATTCATCATCATCATTCATGCTGCGCGCTGCAGACGAGAAAATAGCGCGCGTCGTGATTTCTATCCGAGGCTTTGTCGAAGATCATTTCATCATTGTTTTGCTTGGAGAGTAAACATGGCCGGTAAGTGAAACGGAAGCTGTTTCGTAACGTTTTCGAAGTTAACCATTATTTCCGATGGTTTACCTCATTTAATGTAGTCCACTAGGATGTCCCGACCTCAGTCCACCAGGGACGGCAGGAATGGCGGAGTTTCAAAGCCCCTGTATTCGTGCCGCTTGGCACCGCCTAAGTACGCTCTGAACGATCTCGATTTCGATGCGAATCGTTCCCGGAATGATAACCTCCTGTGACAGAGACTCGGCAGACCGTTTAGCATATCTCTGGGCAGCGAGTTCTAGGTCGAGCAATCTCTCGATGGAGCGTCGAGCGGGAGCTCCAAGATTCCAATAATTGAGAATTTGTGACGGTCGTGCCGATGACCATTCGGATCCAGAATCATTCGACGGGATGGTTCGTGCTCCACGACCCGGCGAATGAGAACGTTTTGATTCCGAATTTCGTTCCCGAAGCAGAAAATCTCGACCGAAAGAAGCATATCGTCTCCTTCTGAGGCTCTCATCTGCCACCCCCTGCAGCCACCGAGCCCTTCGTGCACGCGGAATAAGCTGTCGGCTGTGTTGTCCATGCTGCACCGCTGAAGGTTGCGGGATACCGAACTCCACCGAACCTTAAACTCGAATGAGCATGAGTTCGGTCGGAACGGATTACGCGTTTGAGCGGTGTTGATGAGCGAGATTTGCAGTCGGAGATGTCGATCGCTGGTTCTCCTTTCGGACGCATTGATCGGAGAGATCCTCGGCGGGTGTAGATGGTTCAGGGGAGAATGTCATGCCTACATCACCCTCGTATTCACCTCCGGGATCTAGTTCGAAGCGTATTCAGACGCTCCGAAGAGTAACGAGAGTCAATACTTTTTCCAGACGTAGACGAAGAGTTGGCGCAACTTCAGGCGGCGAAGAAGAAGCTGGCCGAGAACGATGGAGTTCCCCTCGGGGCTGGCGAGAACACTCCATACATGGATCGGCAGCTGTACAACTCAAACAAGAATAGGTTCGACGGCTACGTGACCTCCATCGCGGCCAATGATGATCTGGACGCCGACGTGAGTATTCTTTCGCCTCCTCGAATTCGAGAAGTTGGTAGAGGTCCATGAAGCTGTCATCGATTTTCTGGATCTGAACTCCTTCGATCTTGCATTCCAGGACGATGATATGGAAGCTCAGCCTGCGAACATCCAGGCTCCTCGGAAGGTCAATGCTCAGAAGTTCCTCGAAGAGGTCACCGACAAGAGCTACGATCCGTTCGCGGACAAGCGCGTCGCCCGCATCGCCGATCGCGAGGACGAGTACCGCGCCCAGCGCAGGAAGCTCCAGATATCACCCGAGAGAATAGATCCCTTCGCAGATGGAGGGAAAACTCCCGACATGCAGTCGCGCACCTATGCGCATATTATGAAGGAACAGGCTCTGCGTCGCGGCGAAGGGAACGACAAGAAAGTTCCCGAGTCGAAGAGTGAGTCGAAAAACGGCGGGGAGCCCGAGAAGAAGAAAAGACGGTGGGACGTTCAAGAAACGCCTTCGTCTGGTCCAAAGAAACGCATCGGAGGATGGGAGCAATCAGAGACCCCGTCTCGGACGCCTTCAGTCATGACCCAGCAAGGTCCACAGGAGAAGTGGGCGGAAACGCCCGGTCGGCTCCCCGTCGGAGCTGAAACCCCTGTCCAAGCTCCAAGAATGTGGGAAGCGACTCCAGCCCATCAGACCCCTGGTCACGCAACGCCGGGAGCTGAGACCCCGGGTCACAAAGCGTCAACCCGACGCAATCGCTGGGACGAGACACCGCGAACTGGAGAAACGCCGAGTCACTCGGGTTGGGCAGAAACTCCGCGAGTCGACGGCTCCATCGACAAACTGGAGGCTGCGGCGGCAGCGGCGGCCACTCCGTCTTCTAAGCGGCGCTCCCGATGGGACGAAACTCCTTCGGCAGCGACGCCGTCTATGACGCCGTCAGCGGGAGCCGCGACTCCTTCGATGACTCCGGGACAAATGACACCGGGAGCGATGACGCCGTCGATGACTCCCTCGCAGGTTTTCACTCCCGGAGGGTCGACGCCAATCGGGGAGAAGGCCGCCGCTCTAAGAACGCCAGCCGCGCACATGATTCCAATGACACCGGAACAGATGCAGATGTTCCGTTACGAAAAGGAAATCGATGAGCGCAATCGTCCGATGTCCGACGAAGAGCTGGATTCGTTGTTCCCTCCGGGCTACAAAATCCTGCCACCGCCCTCGGGATACATACCGATCCGAACACCAGCGAGGAAACTCGCTGCAACACCAACTCCCCTGGGAGGCTTGGGTCCGGGAGGAGGTTTCTTCTTCCAGAAGGACGAGCCGGTGAAAAACGTCGACACGCAGCCGAAAAACGCCTCGCTGCCTCCTCTCAAACCCGAGGACATGCAGTACTTCGACAAGCTCCTGACCGACGTCGACGAAGACCTTCTGTCTCCGGAAGAATCCAAGGAACGGAAAATCATGACGCTCCTCCTCAAGATCAAGAACGGAACGCCGCCGATGAGGAAATCGGCGATGCGTCAAATCACAGACAAGGCTCGCGAGTTCGGCCCCGGCGCTCTCTTCAACCAGATTCTGCCGTTGCTCATGAGTCCCACGCTAGAAGACCAAGAACGGCATCTTCTGGTCAAGGTCATCGACAGAGTGCTGTACAAGCTCGACGACTTGGTTCGTCCGTATGTCCACAAAATACTTGTGGTCATTGAGCCGCTCCTCATCGATGAGGACTACTATGCCAGAGTCGAAGGAAGAGAAATCATTTCCAATTTGGCGAAAGCCGCAGGTCTCGCGACCATGATCTCAACAATGAGACCCGATATCGACAACATTGACGAGTACGTCAGAAATACGACAGCAAGAGCGTTCGCAGTTGTCGCATCTGCGCTCGGTGAGTAAAACTCTTGGATGTGCCCGTCGAATTTAGCTGGAAAAATTCCAACTGGATCCTATTTTCTCCGACGCTCTTCCACATTGACTGAGTGAGTTTTTACCCTCGATTCCAGGTATTCCGGCTCTTTTACCTTTCCTGAAAGCCGTTTGTAAGTCGAAAAAATCGTGGCAGGCCCGTCACACCGGAATCAAAATTGTTCAACAAATCGCTATCCTGATGGGGTGCGCTATCCTCCCTCATTTGAGATCTCTCGTTGAAATCATCGAGCACGGTTTGGTTGATGAGCAACAAAAAGTCAGAACGATCACGGCCCTGGGACTCGCTGCACTCGCCGAAGCAGCCACGCCGTACGGTATGGAGAGTTTTTTTCTCGGCGAAAGAGATAGCGAACCGCCCTTCTCATCCATTCTCGATGCCTTACCGTACGCTGGCCGAAAACTCAATCTGCATTCCCTATTCCAGGTATCGAGAGTTTCGATAGTGTTCTGAAACCTCTGTGGAAAGGTATCCGTACCCATCGCGGCAAAGGACTCGCCGCCTTCCTGAAGGCCATCGGTTATCTCATTCCGTTGATGGACGCCGAGTACGCGAATTATTATACTCGAGAAGTGATGTTGATTCTGATCCGAGAGTTCCAATCGCCGGACGAGGAGATGAAAAAGATCGTGCTCAAAGTGGTGAAACAGTGTTGCGCCACGGATGGTGTGGAAGCTCAGTACATCAAGGACGAAGTCCTTCCGCACTTCTTCAGACATTTCTGGAATCATCGCATGGCTCTCGACAAGAGGAACTACAAGTAAGTCATCGCCGAGCGCTCGTGAAAATAATAGACGGGTGGTCGGGGAACGATGGGTCTAGGTGGGGGGAAAGCGAGATGGGGAAGCCCGGCACTAATCTTGGTCGTCTTCTCTATTCCAGGCAACTCGTTGACACCACAGTCGAGATCGCCAACAAGGTCGGAGCTGCTGAGATCGTCAACCGGATCGTAGACGACTTGAAAGACGAAAACGAGCAATACCGAAAAATGGTTATGGAAACCGCGGAGAAGATCTTGGGAAATCTTGGAGCGGTCGAGATCGACTCGCGTCTGGAAGAACAGCTCATCGACGGTATTCTGTACGCCTACCAAGAACAAACCTCTGAGGACATGGTCATGCTCAACGGTTTCGGCACCATCGTCAACGCTCTCGGGAAGCGAGTCAAGCCGTACCTACCTCAAATCTGCGGAACCATCCTGTGGCGTCTGAACAATAAGAGCGCCAAGGTTCGACAACAGGCGGCTGATCTCGTGGCGAGAATCGCCGTGGTCATGAAAACGTGCGAGGAAGAAAAACTCATGTCCCATCTGGGTCAGATTCTCTACGAGTATTTGGGCGAAGAATATCCGGAAGTTCTTGGATCGATCCTCGCCGCGTTGAAAGCCATCGTGAACGTCATCGGAATGTCGAAAATGAATCCTCCTATCAAGGATCTTCTGCCCCGTTTGACCCCTATCCTGAAGAATCGACACGAGAAAGTACAGGAAAACTGCATCGATTTAGTTGGCAGAATTGCCGATCGCGGTGCCGAGTACGTTTCCGCCAGAGAGTGGATGCGAATCTGTTTCGAGCTGTTGGAGCTTCTCAAAGCACACAAGAAGGCGATCCGAAGAGCGACTGTCAACACTTTCGGGTAAGCGAACTCGTGCGCCAATATCCGACGGGTTTTAAATACCTACATATGTGCATCCATTCATTCTCAAGAATCTTCACCGGTACTACCCCTTGTCAGCTCGGTCTAAAGGAGATTTTCCTCTGTCCACAGATACATCGCCAAAGCCATCGGACCGCATGATGTCCTGTCCACCCTTTTGAATAATCTCCGAGTACAGGAGCGTCAGAATCGTGTTTGCACAACCGTCGCCATCGCTATCGTGGCCGAAACCTGTTCCCCGTTCACCGTTCTCCCTGCTCTGATGAATGAATACCGGGTGCCTGAGATGAACGTGCAGAACGGTGTCCTCAAATCATTGTCGTTCCTCTTCGAGTACATCGGCGAAATGGGCAAGGATTACATCTACGCGGTGACACCTCTTCTTGAAGATGCTCTCATGGACCGCGATCTCGTCCACCGACAAACAGCATGCTCAGCTATTCAGCACATGAGTTTAGGCGTTTACGGATTCGGTTGTGAAGATGCTCTGACGCATCTTCTGAACTACGTCTGGCCGAACATTTTTGAAACGAGTCCGCACTTGATCCAAGCTTTCCACGGAGCGGTCGAGGGCATGCGAGTAGGACTCGGGCCTGCACGTATTTTGCAGTATTGTCTCCAAGGACTGTTCCATCCGGCGCGGAAAGTACGTGATGTATATTGGAAGATCTACAACTCTCTGTACATAGGATCCCAGGATGCTTTGGTTGCAGCATATCCGCGAGTGCCGAATGATGGACCTAACCGCTTTGAACGATATGAACTTAGCTATGTACTCTGAAAAAATTACAGCGATAGAGTAACGTCATTGTTTACTTCATGTACTATAATAAAGCAACCGGCGAAACATTAGAGACGGCGCTCTTTATTGAATGGAGGGATTTCTTTGGACCTTGGCGAAAGAAGCATGAACAGGGAAGCGTCTCTCGAAGTTCATCATCCAGGGAGAGTGACTTCATTATTGATCCGATCTTACACAGCATCGATCTCCCTTCGGTCCGTCGATCGCGATCCTATCACGATATCCGCCTTGAGGCTGAAATTGCCAATGATGTAGCGGCGAACCTTGAGAGCCTGGCCATTCACTGCGGTAAATCTGGAAGTCATTGGTAGCAACGAAGGAGATTTGAGCCGCTTCCAGAGATCGGTACCCATCGTAGTTAGATCCGCTCCTGTATCAATCCGGAAATTCACTTAGCTGCCGTTGACATAGACATTCGCGAAGGCGCGGCCTCGCGTTCCAGAAGAATCGCAGGTCGTACTTGATCCAAGAACCGAAAGGGAGTGACGATTGTCTTCCGGTGCCTGATTTAGCATGAATCTACACACCTTCTTGATATGGCCTTTCCGGTGACAGTAGCTGCACGTCGCCCGGAGGGAACGGCAGGTCCGGCGGGCGTGCGACTCACCGCTGGTAGAACAAGTCTCCTTCGCTTTCCGCGAAGTCGCTGCGGTGTTCCCGTGCTTAGCATTCTTCCCTTTATCGGTATCACTTTCCTGATTTCTGAAGGTTTTCCACCACAGGCTGCTCCGGAATCCGAGCCAGTTGGCGCACTGTCTCCGGAGCCGGAAGAAGGTATTATACTACAGCCGCACTGTCGGGGTCATCTCAACCGCCTCGCGTTCAGCCGGCGCGTGCCGCAAAGGGCTGAACGGACTATGTTAGGTTAGCCGGCTTCCCCCTCAAGGATTAGGCAACCATCTACGAAGGGAGAAACATTGTGTTCCCGCCCTTCGGTTCAAACCTAGTCCGCCTAGCTCTATCGAAAAGTGAACGGAGCTGAAACAAATCTCACTCGCTTCCACATCAACGCACGGAGCACTTGTTTCCTCGTGTCTTCCCCACAGAGAACACTTCAGTTACCCGAGAACTGGAGCACTACGGGTAGAAGGTCACGGAGGACTTCGTAGTTTCCCCAGTAAAAAAAGCCAGTCCCCCAATTCTGTTCCAAATGTGGAACATGAGGCATCGTGTTCGCTCCGAGCTCTGTTAGGATTCGGGAACAGGATATCGATCCCCGAACCAAGTTCTCGAAGAGCTAGTAGACCTCAAGAAGCCCAGAGGTTCGGTCATCACCCTGTGGACAGGGATGGCTCGCGAGAGAGAACAACCGGTTCTTGTCTGCTCTTCCGTCCGCCCAGCTCGCGGTCCGGAATGTGCGCGGAATTCTCAGGGAGACATACCTCAACTCCTCCCTCCGGTGACCCTCTTCTGCGGCGGCTCTCCGTTTCTTTCTCTTCTAGCGGGTTTCCCCGAACTCTCTAAGCGGGCATGGGAAACTCACTCGACAGATCTTATGTAAGGATCTCTCGACGGGCAGTGATGCAGATCTCTTCACTCACATCCGCTCCACAATTCGTTTCCTGATCTCAGTATCGACAGGACTGTCTCGCCGTCGCGGATCACCGACGTCGGACTTCGACGAAGTCGTCGACGACGAATCATTTTCTTGACCTCCGCGCTCTGATTGGGGGTAAAGGATCGCCATTACGCGAGATTTCTCGCGAAGCTTCACCACGACAAATAGAGGTGGCACGCGCCCTCAAGGTAGATTCGAATTTTGGCGCCGAAACTATTAGGCGCCAACCGAAGTGCCAGAGCTGTGGATCTCCTTGAGAACAGATCCTCGACAGCGTTCACTCCTAATCAGAGCGCGGATTCGTTTTCTGCGCTCATGAGTTCCCGTTGACAAGTGGCACCAAGTTTCACAAAAGCCAGAGATATGATTGGCTGGGGTATGATCAAATGAGTAGTACGAAATTCCTATGCTAACTATATGTCATTCAAAAATTTCTCAAGAAAATTGCTTCCATAGGTCAAGAAAATGATTCGTCGTCGACGACTTCGTCGAAGTCCGACGTCGGTGATCCGCGACGGCGAGACAGTCCTGTCGATACTGAAGAGATCAGGAAACGAATTGTGGAGCGGATGTGAGTGAAGAGATCTGCATTACTGCCCGTAGAGAGATCCTTATATAAGATCTGTCGAGTGAGTTTCCCATGCCCGCTTAGAGAGTTCGGGGAAACCCGCTACGATATCTGCTCTTCTTTCCAGCATGGCGAAGAAACGGAGAGCCGCCGCAGAAGAGGGTCACCGGAGAGAGGAGTTGAGGTATGTTTCCCTGAGAATTCCGCGCACATTCCGGACCGCGAGCTGGGCGGACGGAAGAGCAGAAAAGAACCGCTTGTCCTCTCTCGCGAGCCATCCCTGTCCTCAGGGTGATGAGCGAACCTCTGGGCTCCTTGAGGTCTAGTAGCTCTTCGAGAACTTGGTTCGGGAATCAATATCCTGTTCCCGAATTTTAACCGAGCTCGAAGCGAGCACGATGCCTCATGTTCCACATTTGGAACAGAATCGGGGGACAAGCTTTTTCTACTGGGGAAACTACGAAGTCCTCCGCGGTTCTGGGCGGGAGAACCTTCTACCCGTAGTGCTCCAGTCCTCGGGTAACTGAAGTGTTCTCTGTGGGGAAGACACGAGGAAACACGTGCTTCGTGCGGTGGTGTGGAAGCGAGAAGCGAGTGAGATTCATATCAGCTCCGTTCACTTTCCGATAGAGCTAGGCGGACTAGGTTCGAACCGAATGGCGGGAACACAACAGTAACCGCGGACCGAGTAAGCCTGCTGGGCTGAGGGATGGGGCCGACTGCTGTCTGTGGAGCGTTCTCTATGATTTGGGTTACGTTTCTTCCGATGAAATTCGTGACGCCCGGCCGTCTTTATCTGCATTCCGAGTCATCTGCCCTGAATTTCGAGCATCCATGTGTTTTTCAGGAGGCGATCAAGGGCGCCGCTCGCTGAAGTTTCCCAGGACGATTCAGACAGGTTAGTGGCATCGTCAGCGAATGGACCATAGCTCAGTTATTCCATAGGCACGAGAACGAGGATTCCTTCCGCTTGAAGTCCACCCCGTGAACTTAGCATGCCTACCTTCCTTCCATCCATCCGTCCGTCGGGGGGAGCCGATGGGGCAACGTTGGCTAAGTGACATTACGATTTTCAATTCCAGAGACCCGAATCAGAGAACAGATTCTAGCGTTAGAAACTCGAGTTTTTCCCTAGAAACTTCGCAAAGGAGGTAAATTCAACGCCAGCCCACTCAAATCGATGCAACTTGCCTATAGCGCACACTTTCTTGACTGTCTCTTCATCTTCAGAGTCTCAATCTTCACTTCAACACCCATACCGGATCGGGGAGATCGAAACCGGTGAGTGCATGCATGTTCATCGGCCAAAGTTTGGAGCACGTAGAAGATAGACAGCGTTCTCGATTCTCGATCTCGGAGTATATCGGGCTCGTGGAAAATCTTTTGTGGAGACTCGACTCGTTTCAGCCGGCCAACTCCGAGCGGCAAGCCTGCGGGGCCCAGCAGCAAACCAGCAGCAAGGCCCCCTAGGACAAGTGACATCAGGGAAGAAGTCGCCGAAGAGGATGCCCCGTCAACCTCGGGGTTCGCGGTTCCCAGCGGCAGAGCACCGGTTAGAAGCAAGCCCCGAGCAATCAGCCCAGAGAACGTCGCAGAAGAGGAATCTGCACCGTCTACGACACCGACTGATGAACCCTCCGGGAAGAGGAGAGGTCGTCCGAAGAAGAACGAACCCAAACGGAGACCGAAGCCGCCCGCGAGAGCGGAACGAGATCCTTCATCAGAGCCACCGCTCTTCCCGCCGTCGGATGAAGAATCGCCTCCCGAGCCGCCTCCGCAGGAAGAGGAAGAAGAACCTCAGCCAGGACCCTCAACGAGTCGAGCGTCGACGCGCTCGACCACGAGACTCCCGAAACGATCTGCGACAGAACCGTCGGATGCGAGACCGTCGACGTCGAGCGCTTCGGCTGGTGTGCTCACCAGGTCGGCGGGCCAATCGAGTCGCAGGAAAAATACACCACAGAGTACCGTCGGCTTGACTAAACGCATGTTCGACGAGATGAAGAAACTTCAAAGCCACACCGGGTTTTTGATACCGCGGCTGCCTTTCATGCGAGTGGTCCGCGAGTTCGCTTCCAATCTTTCTGCCGCCAACACGAACTTCCGGTTCACTGTCGAGGCCATGGAAGCTCTGCAGACAGCCACGGAGTATTACGTGACAAATATGTTCTCCGACGCTGTGAGGCTGGCGAATCATGCCAATCGTGTCACTGTCATGCCGAAGGATCTGAACTTGCTTCGATCGCTTAGACTCATAGATTATTGAACTTCCAGGTGGGAACTCGAGAATAACAAGTTTTTTTCTTTGTGAGAATCTTAAAATAATTTTTGGGAGTGCGATAGGGAGGCATCTCGAAAGCTGACTTATGACGAGAATTGTGCTCGCTCGGAGTCGGAAGCAGCCTATTGTCAGGCTTTTTTATCGGGTTCATTTGTTTGGGTTTAGTCAAAACTCTAAAGGGTCGGAGTCTTGAGTCACCGTGGGCTCATTGCCATGTTATCCGACATCGATTTTCGAATTCCAGCATCGAAACATTTGCTAAGTAAGAGCTGTTCCGGTGCCGTATCCTGATTTAGCGGAATGCTCACCTTCTTTACCGTGTATGATGAAGCCTCTGGCGATCGACCTCGATGCAAATAAAAATATTAATCTACAGATGTTAGCAGACGTTGATTTTCCAAGCAGATTGTGATCTTATTGCGCTCCTGGAGGCAGATTCCTGCGCCGGTAGCAGCCCTCAGGAGAGGTGTACGGAATGTCATCCAGAGAAGAAGCACAAAGAGTCGTCATTGGAGTCCGATCAGATCCGAGTTTGAATCATAAGTGGCGCCGGAAACTCTTCGTGGCACTGAGAGACGAACTCCGCGGCCATTCTGCGGAGAATCAGGAAGTAAGACGCGGGAATGGCAAGATTCGATGGAAGATCCCAGACCAGCGCAGAGACATCCATGAAATCTACGAACTCGGTGTATTCATCTCTCACTGGGCAAAATATGTACATATTCATACTCTACTCACTTGGAAACAACAATGAGGACAAATGTTGAGAGACCCTCCAATGACGAGACCATCCGCTGTCGATGGATGCTACGGAAAATAAATATGAGGCGATGGCGGCATTCGAAGCGTACACTTCGACGTGACCTATTCGTCAGTATGTTAGATTTCGGCGCAGGTACAACGAAGTACGCAGTTAAGCGGTTAGGTCAGCTCCACACAACCGTTTCTTCATGGCTCCCTCATATAGTATCCGAGCTCCGAGGGAGAGGGGGCAACGTCATCCGTCCGCTACTCATTCTAGAACAATCGATATCTGTCTATTCGAAGAGGACGAAACTGATTTTTCCTAACATTCACCCTCCCAAAGGAACCTGCCTACTGCTTGAACTGGGGGTTCGGTTTGATTTCCCTCCCCGACCCGCTCCTACTCCGCAAAAACCCAAACACCGAGCTCATGAATCCACTCGAGCTGCTTGGCTCGCTAAGCTCCGGACCCCGGACCGCCGTTTCCATGGGCGTCGACCTCAGTGGTGGAGAATCCTTCCGTCGAGGTTTTTTCGGTCCGGTCTGATTCTGAATTCTCATCCGCTTCATCTTCGCTCTCCGCTTCCGACTCTCGTGTTTCGCGTACCTCGGGCTCCGGAATCCGCGTATCGCGTATCCAACACGTCGACGTCTCCTCTGCGGAAAAACAGTTTCAAGTGTTCACCGTGATACCTTCGCTCCTTGTCTCTGATTTCCAGCTCGTAGTTGGGCGGGGCTCAGCCCGTGACGAGAAATGAACCTCGATAAGGAGGATCCAACTTGGTTCTGTTGAAGACTTTCAACATCACAAATCACAAGGTCTTCTTCGTTTGTACTGGTTAGCGAAAGTTTTCGGAGCATTCTTGAGACTTGAGACCCATCGGCATAGAAACGCAGACATACCGCTTATCCATGATCACGGACGCCGTCTTGAGTTTATCTTCTTTGGCCATTTTGAAGTGCCAGTATCCTCCACGGATGTCCATCGTTGAGAAGAATTCATAGTTCGCGATCTTGTTGACCACCGCGATCATATCCGGGATAGGAAACGGGTCGTCCTCCTTGATCTTGTTTGATTCTCGAAAATCGATCACCAGTCGCAGTTCTCTGCTATTTCTCCTTGGCACCATCATGGCCGGCGAGCTGTAGGCCGAAATCGCCCCTTCAATTATTCCCGCGTCCACCATTTTCTCGAGCTTTTTTTTTCTTTTCGCTTCCTCCCGGTAGTGAGCAGGCCCCCTGTTCTTGCTCCTCACCACAAGTTATTCCCAAGCCAGCTCGATGCTCCAAATCGAAGCAGCCGACGTCGAATTGAGTCTAGCAAAGAGGTGTTCGGATATAGATACTCTCCTCGACTGGAACCATAGCACGATTTGCATCTGATCCGCCCAGCCTTTTTCGAGGATCACTGCATCAGACATTCGTTTCACTACAACGAGTTCAAGCTCGCAACGTCGTGTACCTAGCTCTACGGACATTTAAGTTTTGCCCACCACCTGCAGACTGGTCTGATTCACCGCTCCCAGGCGAACGGTTGTCTCCTCTATTAGCGCAGCAAAGTTCAGGTTGGTGAGCGCGTTTTCGGTAATCAAGTTAAGATAACTTCCACAATCCAAGAGTACCGGATGGAGCGTCCGTTCCAGATACATATCCACCACCGCGTCTCTCTTTTCCGGACTAGATTTCACCAAAAACGAATCTTCTAGGCATATATCCACTCGGCGCGTGTTGTCCTTGGAGGGCTCCTTTATTTTCTTCTTCGGGCAGTTCTTGGTCGAATGGCCCTGCCGGCAGCATTTGTGGCACTTCGTGCGGCACTCCCTTGCGGTGTGTCCGAACAGCATACACTTCTCGCACTTCACACCCTTTTCCGAGTCGGTCTTCGTCACCCTGGCCGATTCTCCTGCGGGTTTCGCATTGACAGTCAGCGATGCTTTCCCATAACTCGTTGCAGCAAGAAAATTTTGTCGCACAACGCCGTCACCGCCGCGAATTGCGCCTCTTTGAGCCTCTGCTGCAAAGCTCCTGGGCACGCCTTGATCAGTTGTCTCCGAACCATCAACTCGACGGAGCTCGCTCCCGCCTCGGGAACCGCCAAGTGGTGGTAATTTTCCAATTGCTCCCTTACGGTCTTCCGGCAAAAGCTTCTCGAATTCGTCGATGTAGGTATGGCGTACGTTCCTCGGCACGACGATCGCTTCCACCATCTTCTGGAGTTCATCGATCGACGGGGTAACCGTTGACTCACGCTCTTCGATATTTCTCTCGAGTCTCCGTTTGTTTGAGGACGATGAAAAGCAAGAATTTGCTCATTGCCTTAAGCGCCGTCCACTCGCTTGCCTTCGACAACCAACGGAGTTTGGTGAAAAACTCCGTCGGGTTGCGCTCGTCCATCTCTAGGACGATTCATCCACACACTCCTGTGTCTCGGTTTTCGGATCCCACCGCTGCTCTTAGATTTCGGCGCAGATACAACGAAGTACGCAGTGAAGCGGTTAGGTCAGCGGTTAAGTCGAAAAGATCGTAAGTCGAAACAGAATATCCCTTAGGAGCGCATATTAAAGCGATTTATCCGCTCCGAGCGGAGAAAAAGGTCCAGAACAGTCGAGCGGATCCTTGCGTATTCTATCTATGTACATGTCGGCGTGACAGATTCGACCTTTGAGCAGCCATCTTCTTGGACGGCGGCTTGGCTGAAACGACTCGTATGGAGCTATCTACGCAGTCGACGGCTTCGTGGTGGGCAACAGCGAAACCAAGTCCATAATCACGACAGGTACGCTCGACGATTTCATCGGCACGGAAATCTAGCAAGAAGAAGACGGCTTAAGGATGAGCTCGACAATCTGAGTTCGGCAGCCTACACGAAGAAGATTTTACAGGAATATCGGATGGCTGATTCGAACCTTGTAGCCCTAAAACCCGGGGAGTGTGGACGGGAGCGGAAAAGGGGGAGGGGGAATGTCCCGGATGAAATTCCGTCCGGTGGGGCTATGGACATGAACCTCAGGAGGCCCACGTGTCCGGACATCTCATTCGCCGAAACCAAAACGTCGAGAATTTTGGACAACTTCACCGAGAAGAGCCAGGATGAAGTGAAGCGAGTGTTCAAGTACCTCAACGGAACGACGGATTGTCGGCTGACCTACGCAGAGAAGCAGATTTTGGGGGAAACAAGGCGACCAAGACCTTCGATGACGTCGCCATTCTAGCGAATGGAGCAGTATAACGGTAATGTAAGCTCCGGAAAAGCGTTGCACTGGGGGAAGCAGACGTCGTGACTGCCAGCGGTGGAGCGGAGAACTTGATATGGCTCAGACGTCTTCTAGAAGACCTCCCTGAGGGGACAGATTGTCCTCAGTTCCTCTTCTTGGAATTGGCATGGGCAGATTTCATGGCTCTCGCAAATTAAGCAGGATTAATTCACGAAAGGAGTTGGAGAATGCAGATCGAATTCGCCTTCCCGGAACCGACTTGGTCGGGATCGTGATCATGGATGGAGGAGACTGCAGAGTGTAGGTTACTGTGAGGAATAGAATAGTGGAGTGTTTCTAGGAGGTCTTCGAACTCCTCAGGGAGCTCACGCCGCGCGTCGGGACGGGATCTTCCAGTGGTTGCTGCAGCAGCGCCAGCGTCTGACTCAGACGGGCAAATAGTCGTTGCTGTCGATGTATGGAGCTTTGTTGTCCATGGCGCCGGTGCTACATGGATGACAGACATCGGGCACGTTGTACATTTGATCACCCTGAACGGAATAGTTTCGTGATCTAGAGATGTCTGAAGCAGCCTCGAGATAATCAGGAATGGAAATGAAATGATGGTAGGGGGCCGTGGAACAGCTGCTGAGAGGGAACGGGAATCCCCGGGCGTAGAGCCCAGTGTGGTGATTGTTGAACGCTTCATCGAAGTAGGGTCCACTTCAGAGGATCGTCCTTCGGAGAACAAATCAGCTATCGGAGTGCGGACGCGCGTTCTGGAGTATCAGTGCGGAAATAATGTAGTCGCCTGATTTCAGAACGATTCGTGTAAGATCTGTGGCTTCATCTGCGAAATATTTGTGGCTTCACCGAAGAATTGTGGCGTTTCACAGAGAGAGGGAAGCAAATCAAAATACTTGAGGATGTTGCTTGGGACTTGCCGCCGATCTCGAGGATTGGACGATGCTGAGGTCAAAAACTGCTCGCAGCAGAATAGAGCTGTCAATGGCGTTCTTCGCTTTTTCGACGACAGTTCCCTCGATGACAGAGCAGGCTTCCTCGCTGAATCCGTTCCGACCGGGCGAGCTGGTTTCAGGATCGCTGTAAGTAGCCATGTGGCTAATGGAACTTGATGCACATAATTTAGCTCAGGTCAGCGCTCCGGAAAACTCGATCAGGAGAGACTATGCAGCTCGCCGCGAAAATTAAGGTCTCTTACTCGTCAGTTAGTAGTGTTTTTGATCCTTCGGGAGCCCA